GGATCTGCGCGCCCACCTGTGCACCGAGGACCCGGACGCGCCCACGGCCGAGCCCCAGCCCGAGGAAGAGCCCACACCCGAGCCGGAGGACTAGGAGGCCGCCGGGCCCTGGTCTTGAGCGTGACTTTCCCCGATACGGCCTTCCGTCCGCCCCGTCCCTTCCTGAGCCGGTCCAGCTGATCCCACCGGTCCCTTTGGGGGCAGGATGGGTCCTAGACCCGGGCGGATCCAGCCAGGCTTTGGGCACTTTCCCCACTAGAGGGGCCAGCAGGACCCGCAGGCCTGGCTCACCCATCTGTCACTCACACCGCCACTTACCTGGAGGGGCCTCCCCGTGACACCGAAGCTTCGCTCCTTTGCGACCCTTGTAAGGGAAATGCAGACATCTGTCTGCCTCAGCTCTTCACGGGGGTGAGAAAGGGGATGGATCTTGGGAAGCTTTGGCCCCAATAGGTCACTGCGGCGCCTCACTGGCCCCCCACTGGCCCCCCACTGGCCCCTCTACTGAGGGGGCTCCTAAGTGATCATCCCAACAGCTGCACCGCCCGCAGGAAAGGCTGGCAGGGTCCTCCCAGCAGCTCCCCCGGCTCCCCCTCCCCTCCCGGGACCTGTTCCAGCAGGACATGCCCGTTAGGTTGGAAAAGCCGGTGCCGCCAGCGGGCTGAACAATTCTGTTGTAATCAAAACCCCGTTCACCAGTAGTTCCAGACCCACAGCTGTCCTTACCCACCATCCTCCGTCCGGCCTTTCACAGGACCCACCTGTTCTACTACATGGGCAGCGGTCATGACCCCACCTTCCATCCAAACCCGCTCTTCAGAACACTCAGGGATCCCTCCTCCTTTCTGCCTTTGGGCTGGTCCCCAGTCCCCCTCAACCTCCTTCATGCAAAGGCTTCCTCCGCCCTAAGCTCCCCACCCCCATCCCAAGGGAATATTCCACCAGGCAGTGTAACCTGCCTGCCAATCCAATGGACCAACCACTGCAGGGGGTGTGCGTGAGCTCTGCGGCTTCCGAATGCTATTTTTTTAAGACTGTAAATGTTTTTATAATTAAAGGAGCTCCGAGGTAATGGGGGCATCTCAGTGTGTCCAAGAGCCATGGTGCACGCCGGTAAGAAGGACACAAGGGTCGTTACAATTAGGAGAAGCTGGGAGGTTCCGACGGGATGGGGCAGAGGACCCTCCTATGCGTCCTTTCCCAGACGGGAACCAAGGTCTATGGGCAACAAAGGGACCTGCCCTGGGCCGGCAGTCTGTGAGGGACAGCCCCGGGCTTTCTCTAGGCCAGGGAATTGGTTCGGCTAAGGGAGGAATGAGGAAGGAATGAGGAAGGTCTGTGGAAAGCTCAGAGGGGGCAGAGCCCACCCTGGCTGAAGGAGCCTGAGGGAACTGGAACAGGTGCAGGGCGGTTAGGAGGAAGAGGAGCAGGTGGGTTGCTGGGGACGGGGGACAGCACCCCCCTCCCGTCCTCATCAGAGCAGCCCTTCCAATCACTCCAGAAATCTTAGCATTTATAAAAACTGGCAGATTTATTCCGCGGGGGCCCATTTTCAAGAAGCTGAAGGTGAAGGCGGGAGAAGGGAGGAAAGCTTTCCTCCCCTTTTCCTGTCTCCCTCATCTTATTTTCCCTAAGGGGTAAAAATGGCCCGGACCCCAAAACCTACCCAAATAAAAAACCAAAAAACTGAGGTTCCAAAAAGTTACAGCATCTTAATTCCTCATAGAAAAGGGGAAGGAGCCGGAGAGAAGGGATGTTCCCTGGGGTGAGGGGAGATGCCCCCAGCCTGGTGGGACACCCCCCTTAAATAGCTGCCCCGAATCCGACAAGCCCGGGGCTAAAGCATTTAAAAACTCCCCATTTTATCAAAACCAAAGAGAAAAAAATTTCCCTTCCCCCCAAAACCTAAATATATATATATATATATAATTTTTTTTCCTTAAAAAACAAAAATTTGAAGGCATTAAGCGATAAAGTGAAATCTAGAACAAGGGAATGTGCCATTCCCTCCTTCCGTCCCCTGTGGGGTCACTGGGCACATCCCAGCAGAGGAGCCTGCCCCAAGGGGATGGCCGAGGGGAAGGACCAAAGGGAGCAAAGGGTGGGGGCCTCCCCAGCCAATCAGCAGCCAGTATAGGAGTGGGCATGGCAGGAGCCACACCCCCTTGGAATTTTCCAAGTGGGATGAGGAGGGGGAGGACGCGTTCCTGTGTCGTCTTCAGCCAATTCCAAGTCAAGTCGAGGCAGGGAAAGCAGGGTGACAGGCAAGGTGTGCGGAAGGGAGAAACGGGGTCTTCTGGGGCCCCGTGGTCAGGGGGAACCCCTCTTCCTCAGCTCCTGGACAAAGGCTGGAAGGAAACACAGGGCAGAGGTCAGGGGCAGAGCCTCTTCTCCCTTCCCTTCCAAAACAGGGCTCTTTCCCAGGGACAGGATCCCTCCAAAACCACCTCACCTTCAATTATTTCTTCTTTCACTTTCTGCAACTCCTTCCTCACCTCTTCCAGAAACTCCTGGAAGCAATGGGGTGCAGCCAATCAGGAAGAGTGCCTGGACTTGCAGACACTCATCTCTCCTTTCATTCATTCATTCATTCATTCATCCATTCAAATATTTTTTATTGATTTCAGAGAGGAAGGGAAAGGGAGAGGGGTAGAAACATCAATGAGAGAGAATCATTGATCGCTGCCTCCTGCACGCCCCCTGCTGGGGATCGAGCCTGCAATCTGGGCATGTGCCTTTGACTGGAATCCAACCTGGGATCCTTCAGTCCACAGGCCGACGCTCTATCCACTGAGCCAAACCAGGAAGGGCTATTTAATTTAATTTTATTTTTATTGACTTCAGAGAGGGAGAGAGAGAAACATCAATGATGAGAGAGAATCATTGATCTTGACCAGCTGCCTCCTCCACGCCCCCTACTGGGGATCGAGCCTGCAACCAGGGCATATGCCCTTGACCACAATCAAACCTGGAACCCTTCAGTTCTCAGGCCAATGCTTTATCCCAGGGGTCCTCAAACTACGGCCCGCGGGCCACATGCAAATACAAATATTGTATTTGTTCCCGTTTTGTTTTTTTACTTCAAAATAAGGTATGTGCAGTGTGCATAGGAATTTGTTCATAGTTTTTTTTAAACTATAGTCCGGCCCTCCAACGGTCTGAGGGACAGTGAACTGGCCCCCTGTTTAAAAAGTTTGAGGACCCCTGCTTTATCCACTGAGCCGAACCAGCTAGGGCTAATTTCTCCTTTCTTAATGACTGAAGGGCCACACACACACCATGACCTCACTGACAAAGCCGCAGAGGGACGGGAGAATTCTGGAGATTTCTGGATCCTCTGGGCCAGAAGAAAAGCACTGGAGAACAGCCAGTACCAGGGATGGCAAATACATTCTGTTCTCCTGCCAACTCCCGTTGGTAACAGACGCCTGGGGCCAGTGTGTGAAAAGGACTCTGGGAACTCACGGGAAAGCCTGCCCTGATAGGTTAGTAAGGCCTGCCACGCGCACTGGGAAAGGGCGTTGTGGGAGACACAGACCTGTCATCCCTGACCTGATCACATCCCTCCGCTTCTCAGACTAGAAACTGAGTGTCTCCGAGGCCCTTTCTAGAATCACATGGCAAGTCAGTGGCAGAATTTAGACCAGTGATGGCGAACCTTTTGAGCTCGGCGTGTCAGCATTTTGAAAAACCCTAACTTAA